CCAGCTATAAGCCGCCAGACCCTACATCCTGATATCTGAGAGCAACGCCACAATGGGTTATGCAGTGTCCATTTACAGTTACTAAACTAACTTTAATTTTCTTTGTTTCTCTGGAGACTTTACTTTTTGCTTCTGTAAGCTCAACTATAAATTTGTTATAATTTACCTAGCATCTGTATGTTTGCAGTTGGGGGGGGGTTCCAAGGAAATTAAGCCACCCTCAGAACCATCTAGATTAATGACATATTTGATGCTAGGCCTCTGTAGTGTATTGGATTATTTTTCCAGATATACCACCCATATAGTTTAAACACACACTTCTGCTGGGGTCAAAAATCACTTCACACACCAATATTCAATTTTGAAAATTTTTAGTAGCTGAAGCCTTCCTTGAAATATTACTTGGAATTCCAAAATATGAAACAAATAAGGGAACTACTCTGGTGGAAGTGGTGTTGAGAGTTCCTAAGCTTAACCAATGGACCCTGCCCCTTGCTCCCCAACACACTCTCCAAGATACTCCCTGGGGCATCCTTATGACTCCTAGATTCCAAATTGCATGGTGTGAAAAAAAATTGAATCCATCTATGGCTATAAAGTGTGGCCCAGAACTACGAGAATAAGCATCACCTGGGATGAGCTAGAAATGCAAATTCCCAAGCCCCACCTCAGATCATCTGAAATCAGAAATTCTGGAGGTAGGACCCAGAAATCTCTGTTACTAGCCCTCAGGTGATTCCAATGCACATTAAAGCTTGTGAAGTTAGTAGAACAGAATAACCCATTAAGAAGCTATTGAAACAGGGCTGGGGTCCAAGATTATTAGACAGAACAGGGCCAAATGTTAACATTTCTGGGTCTTTAGATTAGCCCAAGCTTCTCCGGAAGGCTGTTTTCCACACACCACTTTCTGGTATCTGTGTGAGATTATAAACTCTCTCAAGGACCAAATTTGCAGTGACATAGATCTCTCTGAGTTGGTTTGATACATTAGAAATCACTGGGAAGACTAGGGATACTTATTCTTAGTTCATTAGATGGAGATGATAAGCAGACTTTTTCTTGACAAAAATTTCAGATCTGAAGCTCCTAAAATAATTTTGAGCAAAATAAGCCAGACACAAAAGTGTACATACTGAACAACTTAATTGATAGTGGGCATTGAAAAGGGTACAACTGACCTACATGAAAGCAGTCAGGATGGGGACCACCTTGGGGGTTATTGACTAGAAGGTAGCAAGAGGGAAAGTGACTGTTGGGTAATGTTCTGGTTTTTGATCCAGATACTATTTACAGGGATGTGTTCATTTTCTAGAAATTCTCTAAGTTGTACTCTAATAGATAATGCACATTTTCCTGTACATACTTCAATAAGAAAGTTGACAAATGGATTGAGTCTCATGCAGGGCATTGCATCACTGCTGCGGGTGCTGGGCTACATACTCTCAGAGGACCCGGGCCTTCACTTCTGGGTGTAAACTATATATCTGGTACAAACATGGACTCCGGGCACCAGGCTGGACTGCATTATGGCAATATTAGTTGTATGGGGCACTGTTTCTTGATTAGAAAAGACCTCCTGGTGCCCCTGATCAGGATTCCCTGTGAATGGGAAAGAAGTGAACAGTTGCCTGTGACCTGCAGGTCAGAGAAAGCATATGGCTACTCTGGGAAGTGAGAAGGATAGGGTTCTGGATTTCTAACCAGGTTGGGCCAAGAAACTGTGTCTAATAGGTGAAAGGGAAGTGTTTGCGCCCTCATTCTGAGCTCTATGGATGGTTCAAGTCGTGGGTCATGAGCATCCATCTTTTGCCTGTGCCCTTCTGAGCCCAGATCATAAATTTACATATGAGCCAATTTTCCCTGGCCTTATCAGCTTTTGGAAATAGATGGATTCTCGGTTTAAATAATTACTTTACACTTCACCAGTGTTTGCCCACATCTGCTCACACATGAATTTCAGACCCCATGAAAAATAGTCCAATTGGGTCTGAAAGTCCCCAGCAGGTCACAAGTCAACCTGTTTTAAACATCGTCCATGTTCAACCTTACCTTACAACCTTAGCAGATGCTTAAGCAACTTGAAGTTGCTTAAGAAGTACTTACCCCCTCCCTGGCCCCCCCTCACCGCTTTGTGCCCACCATGGGAATATTGATGATGGTGCCAAGCATGCTACCTCCTGATCCTCCTAAAAGCCCAGCCATGGAGGTGCCCACCCCTGTGCCAGACATGCTCAAACACACCTCTGTGTCCATCTGAACACAAGACAACGCATACCTGGGAATACATGCTCCCCTGGGTCCCATGATATTGTGACCTGAAAACAGGATCTGGCTGCTGTTATATCCCACTGCTCAATTTGGAGATTGGTGACAGGGGCATAGTGCTGGGCTTGAATACCCCCCCCCACCCCGTTGCTGAGGGACAAGTGTTTCCCAGAGGTGCACACTTCAATCAGGAAGAGCCAGGCACAGCTGCTCCCTCTGGTGGCCCGTGCCTTCCACCAGTGGAGACCAGGAGGTCAGCTTCATCTCTTACAACTATTCCTGAGTGCAGGGTATTTAAAAGACAGTTTCTGCTTCAGACAAACCCAAAATGAGGACTGTCCTATTAAAAATGCTAGTGCCATACAAGACAGTGAGAGGTTGTAGAAACCCTCCAGATTGAGGGAGCTAAAGAGAGATGATGACACAAGCAATACCTCACCCTGGACCAATCCTGTGATGGAAGGGGTAACTCCTCTGAAGGACATTATTGGGTCAACAGACAAAATTACAATACAAATCATAGATTAGATAATAGCACCTCAATGTTAAATGGACTGAAGCTGTTAACTGTCCTGTGATGTAGGGGGCGTGCCTATTCTTAGGAAACATATGCTGAACCATGTAGTTAGTCATGAAGGGCCGTGACACGTACAATTTAATTTCATATGGCCTGAGCAGATGCACGTGCGCGTGTGCGCGCACACACACACACACACACACACACACACACACACACACTTAGGAGAATGCATACATGCAAATAATAAGGCAAAAGGGGCAAACTGTTAACAATAGGTGAATCTGGTAAAGAACATATGGACGTTTTTTATATTTTTATTTTTGCAACTTTCCTACGAGCTTGAAATTATTTCCAAAGAAAATTGTTTTTAAAAATGTGAAAGATGGTTTCTGTGCAGTCAGAATCTGGTGTCACATGCCTCACTGAACTCTTCTCGTGGCAGATGAGGACTGAGGATGTGGCTCTCTTCCAGCAGGCCCACCAGACACATCCCCAAAGGGAGTCAGACACCCTGAACGCAGCAGCCAAGTGCATCTGACCCATTCATTTCATGATCTCTCCCATCCTACAAGATATCAAAAATAACATTTTATATTTCTCTAGAGGATTATGGGCCCTGGATATTGGTGAAAATTTGGTTATGAAAGAAAGGTATACTGGTTCATTCATCCCTCCATCTGTCCAGTAAATGTTCTGAACACCGCCTTACTATGTGCCAGGAACTGTGACATGGGCTGAGGATGTGGCCTAGGCGACAGGGGAGACATCACCTCTGTCCTAGAAAAGTCATCAGTTGGTTGGGAATGTAGCATTTCCAAACAAGTTGGCTGTGAAGGAGACTTGGAAAGCCATGGGAGCCAGCCTTTTTCCACAGCCAGTGGATCTAAGTCCCACAGGTCTGACACTCCCAGTTCCCCAACCCCAGGATTTTCTAGGTAATAGGTCTTTTGTGCCTGATGCTACAGAGAAAAGAAGAAAGCATCGACACTTACCCCATCCTGGGTGTATCCCATCTGTTTCAGCTTAGCCCTCTGCAGGCTGCTCCACTCTGTGAGAATCAGGGAAGAGGCCAACATGCTATTCTCACTCTCCCTGGGCTGGGGGACCAGTGAGCTTTGGAAAACAATCTTTCAACTGATCTGTTTCTGCAAGCGAATGTAGCAGCCACACCCAGAATGCTTCTGGAAGGAAAAGCCCACCAAACAACACCCTCATATGGAAGCCTGGCAGCCTAGGGGATCTGAGCATTCCATCACTGAGATGCTGAGTCATGAAAACAACATCACTGTCTTCCAAATGGGCAGAATAATGACTGTGTGTGTGTGGGGGGGGTGCTAGTTGTATTTCTTCTTCCAATCCCAAGTGTGGTACCCACTGGGATGCCCTGTACTCAGGGAGAATAGTGGAGGGTGTTGTCTTGGGACTCCAAGCAGACAGCACTGGGGAGGCAGTTTTGAGAGAGAGACAGGGAAAGAGAGAGAGAAGTATGGGGTGACTGCATGTGACAGAATGCACGTCCTTTCATCCATGGGTCTCATGTGGGACTGACCCTTACCTCTGATGCATCTCTCTCCTGATCCAAAGAAGTTTCAGATCCAAGAAACGTTTACTGAGCCCCTACAAATTTCCAAGCCTTTTACTTTATACTTTGACACATTTTATATCATTTAATCTTTAACAATAACCCTTTAAGGTAGGAATTATCTGCATTGTACAGATGAGAAAACAATCGCAAAGAGTTTCATTGATTTGCTCAAGTATATCATACAGCTTTTTTTTTTTTTTTTTTAACACTCACACACTACATTCTTAGATGAGGCCTGTCTGTGTTGGTTGCTTATCTTACAGTATTTGTCCTCTCAACTTTTGGAGCAATTGCTCCCCTTTTACAAGGCCCCTTCTCTCCCCTTCTCTGTTCTCCTTTCACTAGCCCACGTGGACTTTTGCTTTAATACTGCATTTAATAGCACAAAAAATCACGAATACAAAGGAACTGGCAAAGGTGTTTGTCTATGATATCCTGCCTCCTCCACTTTTCTGCTTTCAGACCCATAGGAGTAATGGGCTACATTGTATAAACGGTTCTTCCCTTCCCCCCCAGAACATATAACTGTTATGTGATTGGTCAGTTGAAACTGAAACACCCATGGAAAAAGATGTTTACGGTTACAAGGGCACACACCCCCCCACACCACCCCCCACCCACCCCACACTTTCCCACACAATCTTTTGGAGGAATATAGGATATGTATCAGTGTCAGGATTTCCCTGCTCCTGCCTTCCCCACCCAGAGCACTCCTGCCATTTAATCTTCCTTTAAGTGACCACTTAGACTAGAGCCTCTTTTCCAGCCCCTTCTATTTCTCTTCCAATCTGGACCTTTTAGACACTGGGTACTGTTCAATTCTTACTCTGTCTGGCCTGCAGGCCAAGCAAGTAGGTCCTTTAAATCTCGATGCCAGTTGTAGTATGGGTGTTGTCATCTTCCATGACAGGTAGGTCTGTGCGGCTTTTCAGTAGGGTTGTGTATTCATTTCTTTCACTTTTTCTGACTCATGTTCCAGAACCTGTTTGTGATAGAACAGTAAATACCCTTCACTGTCCAGGACATCCTTAATACTGGCCTTGGTGATGACAGCGTCATCACACTTGAACCACTGGTCCTTGTGGTGCCGGATGAAGCTGGTGTAGTGGCCACTCTCCAAGGTTCCTTGGTGATTAACCACAGCAAACAAGGAATACTTATTCTCGTCGTTTCCACTATTGGTTGGCAGCTGCAACTGTCCATTCATCCTGCTCTCTTTACTTGAGGCCATGAATGGTGTCATATCCAGCTCCAAAGGAAAGGATATGTATGTAGTGATCTTGCGCCTCTGTTTGGCTGAGTGTTCAAACCGTTTGAAATGAAAACAGGCAACGACAGGCAATTTCTTCATTGTGAGCTGTTTGGTAGACTCCTGGTAGCTTTGGCAACTACCGCATTTGATTTTGGCACTGCTTCCCAGGTGCTCTGGCCTTGTAAACCTTCGCAAGCAGTCCGTGAGAGTGGGGATTCCCTGTATGTGGCTCTCCCCATTCACACTGCTCTCCCTCCCTGGACTCAGGGGCCAGAAGGAGGTGCAAGAGCCAGGTAAGTCCAAACTGATGTCCCAGCATGGGTCTATGGTGGTGGAGACACCGTGGCAGGCTTGACAGGTGACATCAGATTGCAGGCCACCTGTGAAGATTTGGTCTATGATGCAGTTACAGTGGTTGGGATTATTGGCTGCCTTCCCCGCATCATCACCTTTGCAGTGCCTGTGCAAGACATCCAATGCAGCGATGAGGAACTCGTGGGCATCCTGCTGCCTGTACCCTGCTAAGTGACGAGCGTGTATCCACACCAGGTGCAGCAATTTATAGGGAACGTGAGGAGATGGGTTTCCAGAGTACAACTCACGAAAGAGTGAAGACATCTCACAGACCAGACACAACTCGGGACTTGGCATTTCACATCGGTGCCTGTCCGACAGGAAAAAATCCCTCAGAATGGGAGTGTGGGTAAGGGCCTGGACAATACAGTTCATAAAGCACGTGTTGCCGAGATTGATTAGTCCTCTTAAACCGATGGTGAAGCTGGAGGTGATTCTTCTTCTCCTCGGGTTGTGTCCCAGCAGTTCTAACTCAGGTTTGGTTGTCTCCCAGGTTGGATATTTCTCACCGAGGCCTGGCATCGAACACTGCTGGTGAGAAACCTCGGTGGAGGAGGAGGCTTGTAATTTCAAAGCTTCTCCTTGCTCCTCTTTGGCAATTTGCTCAATGTCTTTGTCATATACATAGTCCTTACACATAAAACAGTATATACCTCCGTAATAAAGGTCTACAGCTAAGTTGTGTTGTTTTGTCTCGGCGTGCTCGTGGATGTGTTTCTCTGTGAAGCAGCCAAAGAAGACACAGGAAAGGCAAGAGTGGAGTCTGTTCAAATGGGTGCCGCACACATGGCAGATGCAGGACTTTGCCTTGCTTTTCCTGGTCTCTGGGGTTCCACACCACACGAAGCACTGGTAGATCACCCGCAGTTCCTGCCTCCAGTTCTCTCCCACCTTAAAGCTGTTCACGTGGGAACAGCCTGGTGGACCCACAGTGAAATCCACATCCAGGCATCCGACCCCTGGGCCGCGCCGGGGCCGGGGCCGGGGTGGGGGCCGTGGCCTGGGCTGCGGCGGTGTTCGGAGTCGGGTCTGGGGCCGCGGCCGGGGTCGGCGGCGGGGGGCACGACTGCGACGCGGGGAGGGATCGGGGGGCCGCGAGGGGTCGGAGGGAAGGGTGGGGGGAGGAACCTCGTCGCTGCCGCCTCCACGGCCGCTCCGCGCTGGGTTCTCATCCTCCAGCTCCGGCTTCTGCTCCCCCTTCGGCTCCTGCTCCGCCTCCCGCACCGGCTCGGATTCGGGCTCCAGCTTGAGCTCAACCTGGCGGACCGGCCCTCCGCCGTCTCCACCTTCCCGGCGGCGTCCACCTTCCCCGCCGCCTCCGCCTTCCCCGCCGCCTCCGCCTTCCCCTCCACCTTCGCCTCCGCCTCCACCTTCCTCTCCGCCTTCTCCGCCGTCTCGGCCGTCTCCGCCTCCTCCGCCTCCTCCGCCTCCACTGGCGGCGGCTCCTCCCCCTGCTCCCCGGGCTCCGCGGCCACTGGGCGTGGCGGCGCGGGGGCCACGCAGACCTGGGGTGTCCCCCGCCCGGCCTGAGGGAGCGCGGTGGCGGTGGCAGCTGGACCCGAAAGGGACTTTCACTGAAGGAGGCGGCGGCGGAAGCAGGCGACGCCCCCGGGAATCCTCCCGCGCAGCCCCCTAGCGGAGGCCGCTTCGGCAGCCAGGCCCCGTTTCCTTGAATTCACTATTTCCCAAACTTGCTGGTTCACGAGGATCACGTGGGAGCGTGTTAAAATTACAGATTCCTCGGCGCCACCCGCAGACCTCCTCAATCCGACTCGCGCAGGGAGGTGCTCCGGAACCTGTATCTTTAACTGGGGCTCGACAGAATTCTTATGATCAGGCAAGTTTGGGAAACACAGCTCTAATTCATTGAGGCTGGCGGGAAGGGGGGCGGGGACCGCGCAGTCTCTTTAAGGCGCTTCCAGTTCTCGGCTCCAATCGCTGCTCTGACCCCCTTCACCGTCTCCTCCCCTCTCCTCGTCCTTCCCTTCGTCCAAGCAGCTCCCCACCCCACCACTGCGGGGCCAGGGACGCGGGGGCTGCCAAGTCCTGACCCATCTGAGCCTATGAAATGTCCCCTCGGAGGTGGGGTCCTGGGGAAGGCGGTCAGAAGCCCTGATAGGCCATCAGCCCTGTGGCTGACTCTCGCCCCATCCCTGCCCCAGGCTCCCCTCCCATCCCAGGTTCTGCCCTTCCCGATCAGGATGGAGCCCCACCTCCACTGGGAGGCAGGCCTGTGCCCCACAGGGGCAGAGCTCCCCAAGCCACTGGGCCTGGAGACATACGTCCCTGTGCCCATCTTGTTGGTGCTCTGCGGAGACTGCCTGCCCCTCATTGCTTCTCAGGCGGCCAAGGCCCCTGCCAGGTTGAGGCTATGGCAGCCGGCCTTTCGGCCAAGCAGAGCATGAGCAGCCCTGGGGTGGCGGTCAGTGGCAGGGGCAAGGCCCAAGTCAGCCATGCCTACAGTGATACCTCCCCCAAGGCTGGTGGAGCAGCCTGGACTGCAGGACACCATCCCAAGACCCTCACACCCTAGCACAGACCCTGCTCAGGCAGCAGGTGGGACAGGGAGGAGGCGGCTTCTGTCTGTGGAGCTGCCAGCAGGGCCTGGGGCAGGCGTGGGGCTGAGGGCCTCTGGGAGCTCCTGTGCTGACAGTGGCTGGCTGTGGGTAGCAGCACCACAGGCCGGGAACACAGAGTCCAGAACAAGGGGCTCACCTGGGCAGAGCTGGGGCAGGTTGGGAAGGAACTGCAGGTGCGGTTCCAGGGAGGGCAGCCCGGAGCAGAGCAGGCATGAGGACAGACAGGGCTCAGCTGGAGGAGCAGCCAGCCAGGCCCCGGGGTCAGAGAGAGTGTGTTGCGGGACTGGAGATGACTGGCCCGGGCTAGTACACACTGTCGGCTTGAGGGGCTGTGCTGCCTCATTATACCCTAGCAGAGGTCTCCTGCGTCAGCACCAGACATCACCTCTCCACCTACCCCCTCCTCCTGGGGTCCTGGGGACATGCCTAGGCCTCCTGGGATTAGCAGCAGGTGTTGGTTGTCAGGAATCAGGAGCCCTCGAGGAGGGCAGGGTGCCTGGCTCCCATGGGGTTCCTCTGTGCTGTTTCTCCCAGGGTTTAGGGAGGGCTGCTGCCCCTCAGGTGAAGTAGGCAGACAAGGGGACGTGGGGGACTGTCATAGTCTCCATGCCCTGGGTTTTATTCCATACACCAGGAACGATGGGTGGCAGGAGGGACAGAACTAGTGGGGCTGAGGTCTCAGCAGCCCTGGGGCCAGTTCTTGCTTTGGTTCCTTGAAGCACCCCAGCATCCTTCCAATAAATCCCTGCCCATTGTGGCCTGCATCCACAGGAACTGGGACCAGCTCACCCACTGAAATCTGCCACTGCTGAAAATGACTGAGATAGTGTTTTTGCTGGGGGTGGGGTGGGGGTGGGCAGGTAGCAGGGACTCTCATCCCACTTGCATAGAGGAACAGACATCAAAGAGACTTAAAGATCTCTGTGTAGCTGCAATTGTCTTCCACTGAAGACTAACAATGGCAACCTGAAGGTCTTATTGATTAACTCCAGCAGAAGGCCACAGGTCTAGCATGTTCTGGAAGTGGGGCAGGGGATGGGGGTCACCGAACAAACATCAATTCAGCTTAGAGCCAGGTGTGTACAAAGAGCCGTGATCACAGTTCTGAACTAAACTTACCCCAGGAACAAAACCAGGGCTGGGTTTCCCAAAAAGTGAACTAAGGAAGTGTCTGGGTCACCAACAGAAAAGAGTCACAAGAAACTAAAGAATCAAGAAAAAAAAAACAGTTTGACATTTCATTTTTTAAAAGTAGTTCTCAAGGGAAAGTCAAAAATTGCTTGTACTTTCATTGCTTGTACTTTCTTCCATTTCTCTCCTTATTGCATATTGTTTTGGCTCTGAACCACATGCAGGGGTTGACAGCCTAATCTTTGGGATGTTTTGTGCTTCTGTGGGTCTGGATTCCGGCCTGCCGGTTGTTACCATCTTTGCCCCTGGAAGACCCACTGGAAGGCTAGCAGAGGGGGCTGCCCTGTGGAGAGACCCCCTCATCATGGTGCTAGAATACAGCTCTCGCCACAAGGTGGCAAAAGAGTATATTGAATATTTGTTTTGTATGTTTATATAAAACTATTGGTGCATATCAAAATACTGTCTAAAAATATTTTGTAACATTGTGATCACCCATTTTCAGATTGATATGTAAAATATTGCATCAAAAATGTTGGTTAGCTGTAAATGTGATTTCTGACAAATATTAAGATTCACAAACAACTGTCACGTCATGATTTTACGTAAAACCTAAATACCTTAGTGAGTTGAAATCCACCACCATCTGTTTTAAAAATTGATAGCCCAGCTCTTCTTGGATTGTTGCAAGTTATACATTTTTCCCTTCTCTCCCTGAGTTCTTAATTCTATTCTCTTCCTCTAACAGAATTTTATCCTAATGATACATATTTTTGCTCTTGAAATAATTTTATTGGTTTTCCTATCGTATTTCCCTGAAGCAAAAATATGTATATATTTTTCTATTTAAATGCTTTTTAATTATTTTTAGTGCCCAAAGTGTTTAAAATTTTTACTTTGAGTTATTGTGACAATTAGTATTAGAATACAATGGATCAAATTACTGTATATATATTACAAATGTTGATGGGCACTTATTAAACATAAAAATGGAAATTTATTAGATAAGCCATTTTTTTAAGCTAGTGGGTATATATCCATGGATAAATATTGCTTATTGCTAGAATAAGGTAGGATTCAGTATCAATTCTCTTCCTACTTTTTGTTTGGTTAAAATTAGCACACAGAAGCCTCATTTATATAAATACATAAATGGTAATGGGCATCTTCTTTTAGTAATGTCACTCAAGTTTTCAAATTCCTTTGTGTAGGCATATGGTGAAAAATTACACAGTGATTTATCTTCAAAATTATTTTTCATGATTTATCAGCTGACAGCTCCATTGGGTTCTCCCTCAATTTTATTGGAAGCCATCTGAGTTACAAAAAGGATTTGATCCCCATTCATTTGTTAGAGCAATTTGTTTCTTCATCATTGACAGCAGTGTTTGGAACTGTCTCTCTGATGTCCTGAGGATTTTGCATTGCAGGGCAGTGCATACAGGTAAGATTCCGGATGGGTAAAACATATGCTTTTCTTTTGTGAAGTGCGAAAAAGAACCATAGTGAAAGAGGAGATGGAAAAAGAAAAAGCCTGATTCTTGTATTGCAAGTGTGCTCTCTGGCAGCCCACTTTTAGGAAATATGAAATTTGAGAATGTGGAATGATCCCCTTAAAACTCTAAGTGTTTATTTACCTCATGGAAAACCTCCTGAACCCTCAGCACAATGCACAATCCACTTTTAAGATTGCTGGTTTATATGTATTATTATAAAAGAAACATATACAATATTTGTAGTTTTAAAAAATGGCATAGGGCCTCCCTGGTGACACAAGGGGTTAAGATGCAACCTATGAAGCTTGCAGCAGCCACTGTAGCGTGAGTTCGATCCCTGGCCAGGGAGCTACCCACATGGCACAGCAGACCTCTCCTGTCTCACCTGCTTCTCCCCTCAGCAGTGTATTTCAGTCAGTCTGCCTGTTCTGTTCCCCACCCTGTCTCTGGTGAATCCTCTCACCCCCCCCCACACACTTCTGGCCTGTACCCCAGTTCTTGTATGTATAAATAAATCTTTAAAAAAATAAAAAGTGGCATAGAAGGCAACATGAAAATTTAAAGCTCCTCTTTTCCCTGCCAATCACACCAAGTTCTATTCCTCTTCATACCCACTTGTTAATAGTTTTTCATATCCTTCAGAAATTTCTCTATGCAAATATAAGCATGTCTGATAATATATCATTTTAATGAAATATAAATGAGACTGTAATATACATACTGATCTATAGCTTTCTATATTAGAAAACAGGCACTTCTCTCCAAGTTGATGTACACATCCAATGCAATACCAATAAGAATTCCAGGGAGTTTTCTGTGGGAAAACTTTTACACAAATAATATGGAAAAATAATGGGCATTTCCTCTTCCCTTGTTTCTCTTTCCTCCTCCCAGAAATGAGACTTTAATGGCCATAACTGTGTACCCATCAAAAAACCTGATTACCTCTGGACCTATTCTTACATGAGAAAACAATACAGTATTTTACCAACTCTAACTGATACATTTCTCTGTTATAACCGATACATTTCTCTGTTTCAACATGTCTGAAATATTTAAATGATAGCTGCAATTTTTCTTTCTTGATGATATACAAAACAATGGCATGCCATACAGTCAGTAGTGTCTTAGCCTCAATGTAACACTCAAAATGTCATCTCATTTGATACTAGTATTGGGATCCAGCTCATGTGTTACTGAATACAATTCCAAAGTGATAACAGGGCTTTTATTTCGTGCCTGGTGAAAACCAAAGTCCTTATCCTGACCTTTAAAGCCTTACAGAATCTGGCATTGGTGTCTTGGACCTCTTTCCTATCACACCAGCCTTGCCCCAATAAACTAGGTTTATAGCCATTCCTTAAATAAGAAAAGTTGGCTCCTGACTCCATCCTATTCTCTTACTGTTTCCTCTGCTTGGAAAGCTCTTCCCCTAGAAATCCTCTTGGCTTTCTCCCTTGCTTCTTCAGATCATTGCTTAAATGTCACTTTACCTCAGAGGCCCTCCTTCTTGACCTCTATTTAAAATAACATCACACCCTGAGTGCATACTGGTCCAACCACTATGGAAAGCTGCATGGAGGATCCTCAGTCTGCTAAAAATTGAGCTTCCATATGATTCAGCAATCCCACTCCTAGGTATTTACCCAAAGGACACAAAAACATCAATTCAAAAGGACACCTGCACCCCTATGTTTATTGCAGCACTATTTACGATAGATAAACTATGGAAACAACCCAAATGCCCAGAAATAGATGACTGGATCAAGAAGATGTGGTATATATACACAATGGAATATTACTCAGCAATCAAAAAAGATAAACACATGCAATTTGCAGCAACATGGATGGCGCTGGAAGGGATCATGCTCAGTGAAATAAGCCAGAAAGAAAAAGAAAAATACCAGATGGTCTCATTCATAGCAGGAATTTAGAAAACCTAAATAATGGATCAGGAAAAAGACTAATTATAATAAAGTAAAAATCAAAATCAATAGGCAACTATAAACCAGACACACTCTACAGGGGTGAGAAGGGAGTAGGATCAAAACAAGGGGAGGTGGGAATTTTACGGGGATGATAACCAAGATGAAAATGCATACATTGTACAAAAATGAAAAATGATGTAAAAAATACATAAAATAAAAATTAAAAAAAATAACATCCCACCCCTGCTTTATTTTCCTTTAAAGTACTACTAATACAGGACATATTAAATATTACACACATGGGCCTCCCCGGTGGCGCAGCGGTTGAGCCCTGGGTTTTAAAGTTGCCCGCAGCCTCTGCAGCACCGGTTCAATCCCCGGCCGCTGGGCGAGGATCCCACATGGCGTGCAGACGTCTCCTGGTTGAAAATAGGAAAGGCTCACATGGAGCAGCCTTGCTTGTGAGGGATGATAGCAAAGATGTAAGTTTCACTGCACCATATCCTAACCAGACCTTTCCCCTGGTTGCACCACATATTGCCTCCAGTTAGTCTGTTTCGTAGCTTCCCTCAGTCATCAGCAGCTCTGACTGGATCCCTTTAGACTGATGTCCCATTTCACTTACATTTTTGATTTCTTACCTGCTTCCTAACGTGTTCAGATCAGCCTCCCAAGTGCCAGTGTAGCATCTTGCAATCACCTGTCTGGCCCCTATCTTTTAGGAAACCCCTCGAATCCCATTATCTGTATCTAGTACTGGAGGTTGAGGTTTGGCTCTGTGGCATATGGCATGATCCTGGGCCTGAAGGCACAATGAAGAATACATTCTTCAATTTTAGAGAATCTGATTTATTTCTGGTGCTTGTCTA